CCTGTCACGCAATCTCGCAATACTCTCATCCCAGGCTCATGCTATGCAGCTAATTTCCCTCATCCGGCCTCTCACATTCCCAAACGAACCATTTCCAGCATGGCTTGTTATAATTTGCGAATGTAAGCGGAAAGGATGGGGGGGCAAGAAGCAAAAGTAACCTCGGCCTGAAGCTTCTTCACACTTTCGCCCTTTTTGCCGATGATGGCACCGGCGCCGCGGCTTGTCACCAGCATTCGCAGCTCATATTTCCCTTCGGCCAGCGCCTTCTGATACGAGTCCTGGCGCTGTCGTTTTCCAGCTCCCAACGCAGCACCATAGCCGTAGCTGTAACCATATGGATCCTCGATGCGCTGACGTTTCATCATTCAGCCCTGCAATAACGGAACAGCCCCTGAACAAAACGGATGATCACTGCGGCAAGTGCAAATGCTTCTTCTGTCGATGAAGTGACTGCTTTCGATGCCGCTGATCAGCGCACAAAAGCCGAAGCTCGCTGCAGCACGCACGAGGCACCACAGTATGTGCTTAGCAGAAGATCAACCCGACGGGCAATCACTGCGCTGTTCGCGATTTTATTACAGCCTGAGGTATACACAGATTCAAACATCCCAACCCCGCTGCAGTGTAGCACGCGCATCAGTCATGCAGTGAACAATACGCCGTGGCTTAATAGAGCACGACATAGCGGAGAGAAGAAGCTCGATCCCGCCCTCTGTACTTCGCTCCTACTAAGAAGCGGAGGCTACTTGGGAAGTAGCTGATGCGGTAGCAAGTGCCAACAGCAATCATCCGCTGGCAAAACTATCGATATCTGCCTCTTGTGATAGTCGCTTACAAGCAAGCTGATGGCGAGTTTGACTCCCTGGCATATGTCAGAACCAATTTACCACTGACACGAATCGTCGTAAAGTAAATTAGCTGTCCCACCACCAATCAGTGGAACCTTCGACTTACTGGATAACACCAGTGCTAGCGACGCTTGGGCCGTATCTTTCGAGAAAGAGGCTAATTAGCGAGAGTGAGCCAAGCTTATCACCTAGCAGTTAGCCTTGCCAAAAAGAAGAAACGAAAGCCGGTAACTTGGCGTTCCAGTGAACTAGCCCAGCCACCAACAGCAGCAGCAGCAGCAGAAGCAGCAGTGCTCCCGGTGCGCAAACAATGGTTATGAATATCTACTACTTCTCCGCGGTAGCCTGCACAGCAGGTGTGCGCGGGAAATTCGGGTGGTCAAAACATGGCAAGCGCACGGGGCGAACAACCATCATCACGGCCATCTCCCAGCACACCAATGCCTGTGCCAGAGTGCTCTCTCGCAAGGTGCACTGTAAGTACTGAGCAGAACACAACACGAATTTTAGTCGATGAAGAGGAGCATAACGAGGATCGCCGGGAAGCGAACTGCGGCAGGCTGCGACACATCCCGCTCTTCCCCTCGTTCTCCGTACGGAACACTGAGCCCCCCGAAAAGACGCGAAAAATGACACTTGCAGGCTGCTCCAGCAAGCCCCACAGCGACAGCAACACAACCCTCGGGAAAACACGCAGTTCGGATACTCAGGGAAAAGCATCTGATCCCCTCACTGCTCCACCCACGAAGAAGTTAGCGCACCGCCTGGAATAATTCAATCCCTCCCACCCACCCTCCCCCCGGTGATTTCGCACGTCGTACCCCCTCAGACCGCAACACCCATGGGACACCAGTACCGCCCCACCACCATCGAAACTCCCCCAAAACATGCAAATCCAGAAAAATACCACACCCACACAAAGCAAAATACCAGCGCAACCACCGGCAACGCTACCACCAATGCCCTAAAAGCTCGCGCACACGCAACGCGCCACTAATTGGCGGAAGGCCAACTGGCTACGGTGGCAGCGGAGTGTTGCAGCCGAACAGCAGACAGGAAATCGCTGAAACTCAATACGCACCGACCACAGTACTTTCTAAAACTCGACTTAAGGGGCCCAGTCTGGGGAATCTTAATGGAAAAGCGGTGGCAAGAATATGGCGGTGTATACCTTAGGAGCTGTGACAGAAGAAGAGCGAGCGAGAGGCAGGAGGAAGGCTGAAGGGGAGAACGGGAGGAAGTGGGCCGCGAGAAGGCGACGCTGCTCACTCGAAAGATCTTAGAAATAGGAAATGAGAAAACAGGGGGGGGGGGG